CATGCAGTAAACTTGGCAGTGATTTAAGCAAGCACACAGAGCCAGCGCCCTTCAGAACAAAACCCAAGAGTAGGAGCAAGCTAGACTCACACAAGTTCACAGACATTGCGACCTTTCTCAGCGCTGTTCCTTAATCCCAACTCAGCCGTCTTCTTTGGGGACAGATGCTACCTTCCCTCCAGTCGGCCTGCACTGAGCAGAAGGTGTCTGGTCTACGGTATCAGAGGATGAGGCCATTCCCTGGGCCTCTGGAGTCCTGTCCTGCCTGTCCACAGCTGGGTGCTGTCTCACCCTCACTCCACATGTCCCCCTTCTCTTCTGACCTTGGCCCACAGGGGTGCCAGGGGCTCCAGCCCAGCACCCTGGGCTTTGGCACCTGCCACCTTTTGCAGCCCTGCCCCCCATCTGATCCTGTGTGCAGCGCCTGCCCCAGCCTCTCGTGGCCGGGCACCGCCACTACTGCCCCTCCTTCGCGGGCCACCCTCGAAGAGCGAGGTCCTCGCTCCTGAGCCCAGCCAGCGGCTGGCACCTGTACCCTGCTGAGGGGATCATGGCCTCAAGTCGATTCACCTCTCTTGCAATGACACCCAGCTCTGCCAAGGGAGCACATCTGAGTTTGCCGGTCTCAACGAAACCTCTCCCCAAAAGGACACAGTGTCTGGCGTGTGTTTCTGCACGTCCATCACTACACGTGCGCCCACACTCCCGCATGTAATGTAGGGCAGCTTCTCACCCCTGGCAGGTGAGCCCAGGAAGGGAGGCCCACCCGAGAGCAGTCGTTCTCACACTGCCTGTGTTCTGCATGAAGATCACTGGGCAGGGGGGCAGGGGAGGTGCTTTTTCTATTTTCCGATGCCCGCTGTAACCTCCAATCCTGACTCAATGGGTCCAGGACGGGGCTTGGACATCAGTATGATCTTAACAAGCTTCCCAGGTGATCTGAATATGCAGCCCAGGCTGAGAGACACTGATCAGAGAGAAAGAGGCAGAGACCCCTCCCACCCCCCTCTCATTGGACTCAGATGGATGAGAACGCACAGTTGCAAAGCACTTCCTGCCCCTCTCCCCAAGGCAAGGCAGTCTCTGCCTGTCTACACAGTAACCATCAGGAAAGGATGTTGAATTCCGGTGCCATATTTCATTCTGACAGCACCTCTTTACCCAATCTGAGCCTCGTTTTCCCCCAACTATTAGCAAAAGGGCTGCTCAAGATACATATTTTGCACCTCCTGCCCCTCGTTTTTCCGTTTTGCATTTCCCTCTTCCCGTCTCTCACTTACATGCCGACCGATGATGACACATTTGTCTTTCCACCCTGCGGAAGTGCTTTTATGTGTTGCCCTGAAATTAGATTTCAGCAGCGCCTGCCCGCTAAGTAAATAATACCACTGAAACCGTAAACTCTATGATCCGACCCAAGGTGCGTAACACGGAGGATGTTATATTCAATTTCACATAAGATAAAATGCATTCGGGCACCGCAGCTAACCGTTCTTTCTGGAAAACCCGTGCTGCAACGTACAGACGCAGCCCACTGCTGCCCAAGCCAGAGAGGCTGCATAGCAACCGCCTACCATGATGTTTAATGGGATTTTTTTTACCCCTCTGAGCTTAGTTTAATATCTACTTATCTAGTAGAAAATTCATTTTGGAACTATTTTCGGACCAAGTACAAAAGACATCTTCGAGGATATATTAGCTACATTACTTTAATCCACTGAAATAAATAAATCTCTCACCCTACAATAAACTCAGCACGTAGGAGGGCAAGCAGTCTCTCAAACAGGCCTTTTGCACCCAAAATAGCGTGGAAATATACAAACGACCAGGGTATATGGCACAACCCAGAATAAAGTGGGTCTATTTGCGATCCTATCTACAATGACTTAGTTATGGAAAGTACCAAAAGATTTTTTTTTTTCCTATATGCTATTCCGGAAAACTTTAATATTCAGCAAACCGAGATCACAGCTGAGTTCCAGACCTGGATAGTCAACGGGTCGTCTCCAGTTGGATAACTCCAAGATCCCCAAATTCACCATGTCTAAATCAGAACGCATCACCTGTCCTGCTGCTCTTGTATTTCTGATCTTGGTTAACGAGGTCACCACCCACCCAGCTGTCCAAGTCAGAAACCTGGCAGTCACCCGGGAATCTCTCCCCCTCAACGCTCTGCCCACTCCTCCCAAATCCCTAAGTATTAGCGATTCCACCATGTGCACACTCTCGTATCTGTCCCTCCTGTCCCAACCCCACAGCTCCTGTTTTAATTTGTCATTTCTTCATTTCTCCACCAGATTCTCCCAAAGGCCTCCCAACCACTCTCCCTGCAATAGCAAGTCCTGGCCCCTCCAACTCCTGCCACGATAAGCTTCATGAAACAGACCTGATCATATTGCTGCTTGCATGAAAACCCTTCAATGAGTCCCCACTTTCTACAGGAAGAAGTGCAAATTCTGAAGTGGGGTACACCAGGCCCTCCACAATCCCGCCTCTCCATCCTTAGGTATCTCCCGGCCTTGAACCCTTTGCCCTGGAGTTCCCCAGCGCCCCAGCCTGTCTCCCGTCCCCTTACCTCTACGCGGGCTACTGCTTCTGCTGGGACCTCCCTGTGCGTTTCTGACCCAGCAAAACACACTCATTGTCTGCACCCACCTCCTCCATGAGACCTTTCTTCCCACCCCACCCCAAAAGAAGAACGGGCCACCCCTACCAACCTGGGGCCCCTGGTCATGCTCCTGTCACAGCATCTATATGTCACGACACTTATTTAGTGACAAAACTGTGAGCTCCCAGAGGGCAAGAATTGTATCTGATCTTTTGAACTCAGTGCCTAGCACTGCTGCCTGACGCATGGTGGGAATTTAATAAATATTTGCGAAACGAATGAATGTCTCCATGACAACATTCAAAGAGTGGTTCTAAGCTAGTTTCTTTCCAGCTCACAGACTTTGCTTTCAGCTGCTTGTGATGTGGGACTGCCTCCCATTCCACGTGGAAATAGATCACCTTCTTATCCCCGGAGAAATCACTTCTTTGTTCTTCACTCCTGAAAGACAGGTCACGCTTCAAGGCCCTCCAGCGGAGGATAGTAAGAAACTATCAAAACAATTTATTCCAAATCCCTGACCCTCTCTGGTTTTAAATGCCCTTTCCCTGGAAGTGATTGCTTGAGTGAGGCACAGAGTGAAGACACTAATTAAAGCAGAACGTCCCTGGCACAAACGGGACAGACTGATAAAACTTACATCCACGCCCCCTGCCCATGCGGATGGAAAATAACACCAACAATGAAATTGACGCAACCTCACAAAGGGCTCACATAAAAATAAAGGCATCACCCTCAACTCAGCAGTGGATTGCCCCTGCGCCCAAGGTAGAACCTTTGGAAAGTTCTGGGCCCACCCAGAGTTCCATCTGAAATGTTAATTTATCTGTAATGTGTCTGCCACTTAATGTCACAGCAAATAACTTCTTCTCCAAGTACTGATTTCATATTGGAAAATGGGCAATTTAAATAATGTGTCATTAACATAGTGTTTTCCTGCCTGATGCTAATGCACTTAATTTGTTTTCCCAGCTTCTCTTCCACAAAATCATTTCCCTCAACCCTCCTCAGGACGATCTGAAACTCCTTGGGTTCCTAACAGACAACCCAGAGAACCTAGAAACCAACCAAACAACCAAACAAATAAGTGAAAATGCTCACACTAAAGAGCTATGGAGACCCATTTGTTCTCGAACTCTTATCGCTTGTTCTGCAGCTTCCTCTGAGTCACACCAAGGTCAGAACACGATAGATCATCCTGACCACCTTAGGGGTGCTGGGTTTGTACAAATGGGGACAAAGCATCATTCAGTGGCCACTGTTGGTCCCAGGAGGAGAGAACTGGGAGAGAGGCCTTACCCAGGAAGAATGTGAGGGGTGTGATAGCTTGTTTTGAGGCCCTAGAAGGCTTGTTCTCATTCTGCTTTGCTTATCTGCGCACAGATTCTTGCTATGTGCTGGTTCCAAACCCCAAAAATTTCAAGGATATTTGGAACATCTTTTATTAATAGCAACTCTAAAATATTTCCACGCCACGCTGCTCAGATACTCTCCAAACATGCAAAGGCAGGTGCCATATAAGGGCTTGTTCCCCCAAACCCTGTGAGATGTGGTGGAATGGCTTAACCATGCTGGCGTGCGGGGCTGAACCAGACACCACGCTAAGGAAAGAGCATCTCTGGGCTGCATCCAGCCACGTCAGGATGGCCCTGTGTGCGCCACTATCCTGGAGGGGACAAGATTTGTATTTGATTCTATTATACAGAAAAAGCAAAAATAAAACTCAATGTAGCCGTGAAGCACCTAAATATGGACCCCTATGGAACCTGCTGGGTGCCAGGTGCTGTGTTCGTGGCAGAAAAGGGGGGAGAAACCATCACAAAGTAAGAAAATGACACTGGAGGGGTTGACATTCTAGGCTCTGCCACTTATAAGCTGCAAAGCTTATTGGGCACACGACTCTACTTTGTGAGCTTCATCTTCTTATTATAAAATAAAGCAATAATAGCAACGGCGGCGATAACAGTACTCATGGCAGTGGCGGCACCTGCTATGCGGCGCGTTCTACGGCAAGCACTTTGCAAACACTCAGTACGTGCCGTCTCGCTTAACCCTTCAAACACCCTGCTGGGCAGATATTATGAATCCCACCTTCCAGAGGACACTCAGGGTTCAGTAACTGGCCTAACGTCACTCAGCTATCGGGAGTGGCAGGGTCTCAGTTCAAAACCAAGTCGGCCTCACTGATGTGCTCTTTGCACGTGGTGACTACTTCCAATGATGGCCATGAATGTCACAGGCCCGGCGGATCTACGTGGAGAGTGCTCTGAGCACACCGTACGACCACGTGACCACCGGGCGTCACTTGCTGAGTCTGCCCCTCTCGGCAGGCTGTGCTGGCGGGACAGCCAGGCTCCGGGCAGGCCACACGGGCAGGGCGGGGGCCACTTACTTTCTCAGAACGGCTATCTCATTCTCTATGCTGCTCTCCTTGCCCTTCAGCGCCTTCTTCGGGATGCACTTGACCGCAAAGAGTTTCCCAGTCGCCTTCTCTTCGGCTAAGACCACTTCCGAAAAGGCCCCGCTGCGAACAAAGAGGGAGAGAGAGGGCATTTAGATTCAGGAGATCGGTTTCGCCGTGGCTCCACCAACCTGCCACCGACGTGTGGGTGACAGTAATGACAGCACGATCCCAGGCGTCCCTATCACTTTGCACGCAGCGTGGCCTCTGACCCAATGTCTTGAGTCAAAGAAACACACACAGGCAAGCGTGCCTCATGCAAAGGGACTGGAGGAGGTCCACATGGGTTTGGCCACCTCCTGGTGCCGCCCACTGCTCAGCGTGGGTGGGGATGTCCCTTGAAGCCAACAGGAACGTTGCTATAAGAGGTCCCTGCTGCAGAAAAGACTGGATCCCCCGCATAGACTAGAAAGTCATGCTAAAATTCTGGGGTTCCCACAGGCCCTTCGTCCAAGGGAAATGTCAGAGCTCTTTGCAAACCCTGGATTTCTTCTCCCAGATGGTAAGGAGGTGATCGATCACAGGGTGAGTCGGTGCCGCCCGTGGTGGTGACAAGGGCTGATTAATTGGTTGGGGTACCCAAGTCTTCACCAAGCAGTTTGTTTCCTTTTTAAACCAAATCAACAAAGGAGGACCACACAGTCAATTGCCTTCAGACTGCAAAACTCGGGCTCTGTGTTCACGAGTCAAGGAAGTGCCACAAGCCACCGAGTTCTTCTCTGTTCCCAGACGTTCAGGAACAACTCGTATCTCCAAAGACAGACTCCAAGCTGGCTTCTACCCCAGCAGAACTTTCCTGCTTCGGGAGAGAAACTCAACTCGCCTGTATCAAGAGAAAGCACTGGAAGCCCCAGTGTTGTCACCGTACCAGGGCCTCAGGGTCTACGTTCCTCAGTAACCATCAGAGAGATGCCTAAACCAGGGGACACACCATCCTCTCCCTCCTCTTGCCCACAGGACAGGCATGCATGCTCTGTCACCGTGCAAAGGAAGACACAGGTGTGTTTTCAAAGTCTGTCCAGTGAGAAGAACTCACTTCCACCCAGGACAATTAACTGTGAGTCTTTGGGACACTGTTCCTACTGGAACATGAATCCTCAGGAGAGGATTCAAGTCTGTCTGTTTCCAAGGTCCGTATCTAACGGTATAAACCCGACAGGCAGAACATCGTCACGCCACGAACTACGCAAACGACAAACGTCCAGACAAGGATCTTCTGCCCAAATCCACAAATTATCATCAAGGAGGATTCTATCCACAAGCACTGCAGGTGACAGTGACGGAGGGTCGGGCTCTGTCACTGGGTGAGCGGCCATCCTTCCGGCGCGTGCAGACCCACTTGCTCTGTCATTTAGCCAAACGACGTGCATTCACCTACTCTAAGCTTTCCAAAGACAAAGCTCTCTGGGTCTTTTTAGGGGACAGAAGATTGGCATAAATTGTCATTGTTCCCACAATAAATAGGAATCGCTGGAAGATACTTCCCCTATTCCAGGAAAGCTAATTAGAAACATCAAAAACAAAATTCATGAATGAACGGTCTGAGCGCTTTCAATGTAATTAGACAACACAGAACACAGTGGTGTGTGTGTGTGGGGGGGGCAGAAAGACAGAGAGAGGGAGGCGCTGATGGCAGGAAGGAGATGACACCAAGGCAAATGATCTGAGAGCCTCTAAAATAAAAGCCTTCAGACAACCCAAGAACATAAATTCCCAGGGACAAAAGCAAGAACAAAGAGTGACAAAGTTTAAAAAAGTACAAAGAGGTCAAAGCAGGGTGCACTCTCCGGGCTGGAAAATACAGCATCGCGCACTTAAAATGGAATGGCCGAGCACTCCGGCCAGGCTGAGTGACGCCGGCGCCTTGGAATAGTCTAGTCGTCTGGGCACAGCCTGCACTGGCCTGCCACCTGTGTGGTGGGCTCTGCTCTCTGCAGTCTGACCTACTCCCCCACCACTTGTCTGGCACTGGGGTGAGCTGGGTCCCCAGGGGGTCCAATAGTGCTGAACCAAATGGCTGTGCTAATCCTACTGGTCTCTGGTGTGACAACCAGGGGGCCTTGTCCTCCTTCCTAAAACTCTCTACGTGGTTCTGCAACATAGTCCTTCCTTCTGCCTTCCTGTCCCCTTCCTCTGCATCTCCACCTGCTCTTCCTCCTCCCCTCGGACATCAATGGTCCCCAAGGTCCATTGATTGGGGATCCTCCTTTCTTCCTGTTCTTCCCTCCCCTGGAAAATCTCAGTTGTTTCCATAGCTTCATCCCCACCTGACCCCCAATGGCCTCCTGATCTTGATCTAGATTTTAATCTCTCTCAGGTGCCAATCTCACTTCCCAAACTGTCCCCAAGGGCCTTGGCCAGCCTCTCAAGAGCACTGTCACCAAAGTGAAAATCAGTGTCTTCATTCTAGAACTTCCCTCTCCTATATTCCATCTCTCGTTTCTAGAGGCCCAGTTAATGCAGACTAGAAACCTGTCTACTCCTCTCTCCCTCACAATCCCATCACCAACTATATTCAGGTCTTCTGCCAAAAAGACTCTCAAATGCCCGGCTGTTCCTCCATCCCTGCAAGCCATCCTTGTCTCTCTCACCTCTGGACTACCTGTATCTGCTATCTCCCATCTGCCTGGAATTCCTTTTCTAAAACAAAGATCTGACCATATCATTACCCTACTTAAAGTCTTTGAGGATCCATGTCTATAGGATAAGGTTCAAATAACTCTGCAAGTTGCCAGTGGCATTCAGAGCCCTTCCAAACCCGACCCCAGCTTCGTGGCTCACCTGTCACCACAGCCACCATACACAGGTCACCTCAACCCAACACAGCAGTCAACTTGGCGGTTTCCCAAACACACCAACGACCTTTCACCCCATTGGCCTTTGTCCAACTTCCACCTACCTCCTCCTTCCTTGAATAGCAATTCCTTTTTCATTCTGCTTTGCAAAATTCCATTCATTTTCTTAAAAGGCCAAGATGGTATATTTTTTCCTTTTTTAAGATTTTTCTCAATTGCCTCCCACCCAGACAGACTGCTACCCTCCTTCTGGGGCACGTGGCTTTGACCAACATTACTCCATTCACACACCCCATTGGAGTCCTTTATGTCTTGTCTACGCAAGAGCAGGAGTCAAGAGCAGCAGGTGTTGGTCATTCTTTTCTGCGTCTCCAGACCTAACAACACTTGGCACCAACTGGTGCCCAAGACAGTTTTGGTGATCACCATTATTTGGGGCTCTCTGATTCCCTGTCTGACCTGCTCCCCCTTCTTTCTCCTGGGCTGTAGATCTGCAAAATAAGTAACACATGCTAATGACCTTCCACTCAACATCGAGGGAAAAAGTACTGTCCCTTTCCTCCTTCATAATGTATTCCTCCAAGTCTCTATGCAGGCCTGTGCAGAATGAACCTCAAAGGTTTCTCTTGAGGCACAAAAAATTCTTTTGAGTCCTTCCTGGTCTATTTTAAAACATGCACTTATACACTTGAATGCTTAAGTAACGCGACACAGTTCAGTAATCCTGAGATCACTGTTTGTTTTGACTGGTGAAAACATCAAATTTGTGAATTTAAGATAGATGGTATTTCTGCCTAAAAACCTTCATCCTGGTGAAATAAGTCAAGTTTGGTAGAAAAAGAAGAGAAGGCAGATTTTTATACAGATGAAAGGACTTTAGACAATGCATAATTGTGGGAGAAATAAAAATTCCAGTGTTTCGAAAACCTCATTTTTTTTTCAAGTTGTGACAAGACATTTATGTGAATTATAAAGGAAACCATTATCGTATTTTTTTGAAAATACCAAATTTCTATCAAAATGAAATCTCTGCGACAAATACTAGAAAGGCCAAACAGAAAAAGTTATTCTTGAAATGCTAAATATTTTCTGCACCTGAAGATAAGCTGTAGGAATTGCAAAAAGTTGAATTCTTCCCCCTTTTCCTCCACAGTTCAAAGAAAATAAAATCATTTCCTGGAGGCAGCCTACCCTGATTATAAATCAGGTACCCAGGAGAAGCTACCTTTTGGGAGCTGCATTTCCAAGACTAAAGAGAAACACATTTTCTATAACGAGTAAAGAAGTTCTATAGTGACTAAAGAATTCTCAATGACTATTTAGGCTTTTAACTTCATAAATGATGGTTCTGCAAAAGGCTGCTTTGTTTTGCTTTAGTTAGTCAGTTTCAACAGACCCCACCTGGTGATGTACACCCAGTCCTCTCTGAGCAGTGAAATGATCTGAGGTCCAAGAGATCAAGGAGAAGGCAAAGAAAAGAAGTTGGCCCAGGCTCCAAGAATTCTTAATCTTCCGGAGTTCCCTGAAAAAACTGCAGCATGAAATCCACGTGCCCTGAGGATGTCTTGGCTAAAAACAGATATTTAAGGGATTTGTGAACTACAGGTAGACATGTACCTTCTATTGGTTAAAAAATTCATAGAGCTGCCGGGCGTGGTGGCTCACGCCTGTAATCCTAGCACTCTGGGAGGCCGAGGCGGGCGGATTGCTCGAGGTCAGGAGTTCGAAACCACCCTGAGCAAGAGCGAGACCCCGTCTCTACTATAAATAGAAAGAAATTAATTGGCCAACTAATATATATAGAAAAAATTAGCCGGGCATGGTGGCGCATGCCTGTACTCCCAGCTACTCAGGAGGCTGAGGCAGAAGGATCGCTTGAGCCCAGGAGTTTGAGGTTGCTGTGAGCTAGGCTGATGCCACGGCACTCACTCTAGCCTGGGCAACAAAGCGAGACTCTGTCTCAAAAAATAAAAATAAAAAAAAATTCATAGAGCCACTCAGAGCATCTTAACTCCAGATCTGCAGCTTCTACTGGGATCAGAACCCAGAACATGCTAGCTGACCCACCTACTCACCACCAATTATTATTATAAAATACAGAAACAAGAAATCTGTTTCTTTCCTCTCTAATAAACTTTCCCAGTGTCTAATCATCTTTAACCTGAAGTTGGTAAGAACAAATATCACATAGTATCTAGGAAGAGTAGCACACAGGCTGGCTGTTCTAAGTGCACATCATTAAAAATAAATTCTTTTCTCATCCAAGAG